CCTCTACTCGGAGAGCTCGCGCCGCATCCTCCTCGGCCGCCTCTGGCGCCGGCTGCGCGGACGCCCGGGCCATGCCTCTGCCTTGATGGCGGCGCTCGCCGGCGTGTTTGCGTGGGACGAGGAGAGGATCCAGGAGGAGGAGTTGCAGAGGTAGGCCCGGTGGCGTGGTCGTGCCTGTTCCCTGAGGTGGGGAGGCCGGGTGTGGAGGTGGGGACATGGAGCCCTGGGGCCTGCCTTGGCAGTCAGTGCCTCTCATGTACCGAGTGGTACTGGAAGTGACGATGCAAGTAGCTTGATCCTGTTGTAGCAAACCACGTTTCTTTATTGCCTTTATGTGTTAACTTGATTTGTCGAGCTAGAAATAACTGCAGGTGTAGGTTAGTGGAGGACGAAGACTTTGGGAAGCATGACACTAAAATAACATTGTGAAAAATAGGTATTCGGGGGGAGGGTGTAGCTCAAGTGGTAGAGTGCATGCTTAGCATACATAAGGTCTGGGGTTCAAACCCCCGTATCTCCTCTAAAAAAAAGTAAACTTAATCCTCCCTCCCCCCTCCAACAAAAGAAAAATAGGCATGTAGGCCATTGTTCACATAACCTTTTTTTTTACTTGTGTATTATTTTTCATATCCTTCATTACAGGTTACTTACAAGCCATTGAATATAGTTCCCTGTGCTATACAGTAGGGCCTTGTTGTTTATCTATTCTTTGCATAGTAGTTTGTATATTCACATAATCTTTAACACATCCAGAAAGGTGCAGATTCCAAACAGGTTTTAAACTTGACCTGAGGGTATAGATAATGCAGTTTACAAAATTATTTCATCCCAAATGGGACTTCATGAGAAATGCCAGGGGAGCGCTTTTGTCATTGTGATTCGTTGGCAGAATTATGAGGCTGGAAATGATTTTGCCCCACCCCCCCCCATACAAACCAGAAGTGCAGACATTTTAACCTGGAAGAATTAGGTGAGTTTTATGCTACTGCCGCTAGAACTTTGGAAGTACAGTTTCATTAGGCTTAGAAATCACGCTGTCACCATCAGAACTTCTTTGTGAAAAGTGCAATACCACTGATTAAATTTTTCAATCCATGGTTCTAAACCTAGTCGAGCCCTTACAGTTTTCACGTAATATCATGGGGAAACCTTGCTTTGGGTCTTGTTTTACATTGTCACTGTATTTTCTTTTTTAACAAATGTTCTTAAACTGTTCTATCTATCCCACCACAGACACTGCCCCCTCAGCTCTGAGACTGTGATTTCAAGAACGTAGGATTGTCCCCTACCCCAGATAAATCCCACACAAGTGTACTTATTTTAGCCATTTCTTCTGTTACTCCACATTTTTGGTTAGGTTAAAAGTGGAAATATTTCAGTAAAGTACCGTGACCTGTTTGGAGGTGTGGCACCTGGATGCCAGGCAGCTATTTGTGCAACACTGTGAATTGTGGGTAAATGCAGGTGTATCTTAAGAGCTGGTAATATTTTTCCTAGCAGGAAAGATGGCTTTTAAATGCAATTTAAAATCATCACTACAAACAGCCTTATTCACAGAAAAATTAAGATAGTGAAATGTGATGGGTAGCTTGCCTAGTTTCTGTCACTGTTCTTTTGCTATTTGTCCAGTGGTTCTAATTGTGTTCTTGGGTGTGAGAAATAAAATAATTTATGGGACGGAAACTTTTAAATTGAGAAATTACCAATTAAGTGTTTGAATTTTCATTCAGTCTTTTATGATGAAATACAACGTGTTCCACAGTGGTGAAAGTTGAAGGGAAAATTCCTAGTTGAATCTATTTGGGGAAGAGAAGAAAGACCAGGAAAGAGCTCTTGGGTACTAAAGAGAGGGAAGATGTTTTGGGGGTGGGAGTTGAATAGCGTTAGGACCTAGGTGGTAGATGTCATTCTTTGGCTTATTTCGCGTGTTTTTTTGGACGACGTCCTAAGCCCTCTGATTTGCAGGAGCTGGAGGGGAAAATAAGATAGGAAATAGATGTGGTAAACATTTGAGTCAGTAGTGACTGCCCACTGTGGCAGAAAGAGATCAGATGGTTGAAACATTCTTGGTACTAATCCAGCTGCTGAAAAGATACTGTTCTGCGATAACCCGCTTGGGAATTTCAGAAGCTTAGACAGAGACCAGTGAATATACTTAAGGTGCCCTTTTTGACCCTCTCCAGAGTTGTTCCAGTGAAGCTCCTCTTTTAACACTCCATACCCATCTAATTCATGCTTGAATTCAGTCATATGCTTAAAATTTGAGCAACTTACCCATTTTGATGGGGTTTTTTTAGTGTCTCTGTAGGGAGGCAGACATGCTGTTGATCTGCGTCTTGATTGTACAGTGATTTCACAGGTTTTTGTTTTCATAGCTTATTGTGTTTGTATTTTCTTGCATGAAGTATTCTGAGCACAGGTTAACTTTTTTTGGCTTGTTGTTTAAATATTATTTGCTTTAAAGGAAGCACTACTCAGGTTGTCACAGCTAGCTTAGAACATCTTAGATTTTGTTTGTTCTAATGAGACAATTTTGGGTATGATTTCTTCCATAATGGAGCACAGTTGAGCGTGCCTCGGGACAAGTGCATTTCTTTCATTAATGGAAAAAGCATAATTGTCCCATGGCCCCTAAATCCCAGCCCTTGGCCCTTCTGTGCTGTTTCTGTACCAACGTGCCCTGGTACAAACTAATTCTGATACTGTTGCCTTAAACAAACAGTGATGGAGCATGCAGGACCTCTCTTTGAATGTGTGCTTTAAACTGGCATGTGTTTTTTCTTATGTTAGTTGAATTTCTTTTCAGAATGACAAAGAAAAACCTTGCTTTCCATTCTCTTGTGCTTAAGAACATCTTAACAAATAGGAACTCATTAATCGAAGAACAGCAAGAAAATTTGAGAAAAGAAGTAACTGGAACAAAGTGGCTTTGACTCACTGATAGGCCATGTGTAGAAATTAGGACTTTTAATGCTTAGTCTAGTATTCTTACCCAATTGGCTTCAGTTAAACGATCAAACAAAATAACTTTTAATCACTGTTTTTGGTGCTAGCTGGCAATCTGAGAGCCAAGGGAAAACCTTTTGGAAAAATACAGCAGTAATTTTTGATTGCTCTGAAACTTTAAAAAAGTTTTTTACAGGAAGAAAAAGAGGAAGGAAGTTAAGAAATATGAAAGGCTAGGGGAAAATGTTCCATTAATCTCTCCCCTCTTTTTTTAAAAGTTACAATTCATTACTCTAGAAGTTTGAGTAAATAAGTGCCTGTGAAGTTTCGTAAAGAAAATTGTCCATTTTCCCATTTCGGTCTTTCAGAGAGAGCATTCAGAATACTTTTAACTTTTCAGTGTTCTATTGATTAGATAAATGATCAACAAAATATCCTTTTGGCTTAAAGGAACTTTTTTTTGCCCCTGTCATCTGAGGGTTTTTACTATTATACCTTCGCAGATAATCAGAAGTATGCAAAAGCTGACTTAAATTTTTTGAGATTGCCTTGATTATTTTATAGTTAACCAGTTTGGCCCAGAATTGCAGTGAGCTGGTTGATGTCTTTTACTGCTGGATATGTCCCGTAACGATTGTACTTGATGAAGTTCTCTAACTTTGACCGTAACTGGGAACTTGAGGAGAGGATCATTGAAATGAGGCAGTTGTCTTGCTGAAGTTACTGATTACAGGGACGGCTTCATCTGAATCATTTTGGAACCTTATATCAAGCTCTACACCTAGGGCAGGGAGGGGCCCCTAGATGAGCCAAATATGATTATACTTATTTTTCTGTTTTATTGATGTTATGCCTTCAATTTCCATAGGTCTTAGTCCATCCAGTCTTTCTCAAATATTGAAATGACTTCAGTTTTGGAGAAAGGAAAGCATTGACTGTCTTCCCTTGATCCTCTTACTAATCTGCTGGTTCTGTTACTATTTGGGGAATAATCTCTTTTGTCCTTCTTTCCTCTCTTCTTATTGCTTGTTTAAGTCTATTAGATAACAAGGTTTAGACACCTATCCCATCCAAATAAGATTGGATACTGCAGGCTAACTTGAGGTTTATGGTGAGAGGTTTTTCCTTCCTTCACATATATGATGGTGACCGTGTGCCTGTGTGCTAACAATTATGTCTGTCATGTCAGAGTTTAGGAGTTGAGACCCTTCGGAGATTCTTGAACCTGGAACATGACAATCATTGACATTTTCATGATGTAATCTCACTCCAGCATTCACATTGTGCTCTTCAAAGAATGAATGTCATACCTTCACAAGACATTGCTATCCCCTTCTAGGGACTTAGTCTCATGTCTAATCAAGGCCACCTGGTGACCTTTAATTAGGAGAGGTTGATGAAGCAGTGGGTCAGAGGCTGTGCTGAGTCTTAGAAGGCTGTTAAAAATATTGCCTATAGACATATAGTTTAATTTCCTTAAAACCATGTTACTATATAATTTTATGAGCCTCTAATGTATTTTTAATGAGATGTTCCTGCCTCTCTATTATGTGATAAGAAGGACATTCAAGAGTCATGCTTGGTTTTTACCAAAGACTGCTTTACTGGTTCCTGAGAAGTGCCATAGCTGGTTCCACAGGATGCCTGGATTATTCTCTGAACAGGTCTAGCTGTGGTTTTACTTTTGCTTTCTCCTCTGCAAGGTCTTATTGCCTACTTTAAAGTTCCTTCCCTTTTTCTACAGTTGGACAGTTTTTACAGTGATAGCAGTCAATCCTATTTTGCAACTTTTGATTCAAATTGAAACTTTAAAAAAAATGGTTAAACCTTTTTCATCAGAACATCAGTATAAATTGTACTGGCTAGGGTCCTTGGTTGCAAGCAAACTGATATTGGTTAACTTAAGCCAGAAAGAGATTAATCAGAAAGGTGTTAGGTCACTCAGATCATTGACAAGAAGGCCAGAGAATGGATTGGCCAAGAGAACAGCCAGGACCTGCTACAGGAATACTCTTTGGGCAGTATTGCTGGTTGTGTTTCCTAGATTGGTTGGATTCTCAACTCCCTCAAGATCACAGAGAAAATCTAAAACCTGTGCCTTGTGTCATTTTCTCAAGATTCAAATCCTCTACCAGAAGTCTCTGATTAACCTCACTTAAATTAGGATCTGTACTGTCACTGCTAGGGGTTAAGAGGCGGGCTGT